ATGATTTAAAAGATTATCCAAGTGATAATGGAAATTGTTATGGAAAGGTATATTTATTATCAATAAATCAATCAATTATATTAATCAATCAGTAATATTTATATTAAGATTTATCTAGGTCCTATTATTATTTAAGCTTACAAATTCCAAATGAAGATTTGGCTTTAATTCAGTGGTATGACTTTAAATATACAAATGATCCAAAAAGATTTTATAACTTTGAATGTCCTTATCTTAAATTAATCTAGAATTATAACATTATTGACATAAATGCAATTGTTTCAAATGTTCATATTATTCCACATCATAACCATCAGAATGCATTTTTTGTGAATAAATTTATTTTTTAATTCATTATAAAATGTCAAATTTGATTTTATTTCACAAAAAGTAATTCTACATAAAATTTTATTATTATCAAATAATGCTTATTTATTATCTCTTAAACACTGAGCTCAGGAAATCATGACAAAAGTAGTTAGCAAGTGCACAACACAAAATTTGCTAAAAAGGTGAAGACGTAGATCACAGAAATAATTAAAAGATCTGCATCTCATAATGCAGCAAATATAATAATAATCAGAATCAGACATAAATATGGATATTGAAAGCTTTGGAGGGATACTTTTAGAAAAATTGAGTAAGATTGAATTAAATGACGAGGTATAGAGCTTCTTCCTTTTTCCAAAAAAAGAAAAAAAAGGCTTTAATTTTTTAAGACTTGACATTTAATTTATTTATTTATGATTTAGACATTTACAGATTATATTATTGGAATATTATCAGACGAGACCGTTGAAAATTCAGAAAAATATGAAATTATTTCAGAATTTTTAATGGATGCTTCAGTAAGTATTCATGCTACTTTATTTATTCATCAATTGTACAAAAAAAAAATATTCATTCTTCAAAAGATGATTATAATAAATTTTTTTGATTGGTTTTTTTTTTTGCTAAAATTATAAGTTGTTGTTGTTATTATTATCATTATTGAGGAAAAATCAACAGATTCGTTGGTTAAAGAAATCATAGATTCGTGGGAAGCGTGGTCAGAAAAAATGAAAATTTATAAAGAAGAAGAACGTTTAGCGCAATTGGAATTGGAAGCTAAAGAAAAAAAAATTTTAGAATTAAAAAAGTTGGAGCAAGGTATTTTAAGAAACAAAATTATTTGCTTAATTAATTAATTAATGAATAGATCGATGAAAGGGGGAGAAACAATGAACAATTATCTCATATATATATATATATATAATTAAAATAATAATAATACCACACAAGATTCAGAAATTACGCAGCAATCATTATCTTCTTCTTCATCTTCATCACCAACAACATTATCACTCCGTGAAACAAAAACAAAACAACTTACAAAAGAGGAACGTAAAAAACGCGAACAATTGTTGGCAAAATATTCATATGATTTTGATGAAATCGTAGAGAATGAAGATGGTGAAGCTGAAATAGTATATAAAAGCCATGATGATGATAATAATAATAATAATAATAATAAAAATAAAAACAAACACAAGAATGGTATATATATATAATTTGAAGTTTATAAATTATTTACCACGATTATATAAGTAATGATATAAATTTGGGGTTTTTTATAGATTCATCATCATCATCATTATTGGCACAAAAGAATCGTAATAGAGATGTGGTAAAAGAGGAAGAGAGAATGCGTAGAGAAGAAATGCAGAAAAAACATGAGTTTGAAAAAGAAAGAAATCGTAAATTATTGGAAAAACAAAAATTAGACGAGGAAAAGAAAAAGAGAAAAACGACGAAAAAAGAGAAAACTAGGTTTTGAATAATATTTGATGATATGAATTCATTATCGGATAAATAGATAGATATAGGTATGTACTGAACGAACGATTATATAATAGAAAAACATTATGATCTTTTAAAGATTTTTAATTTTTTCGTTTTTAATTTTGTTTAATATTAAAAAAAAGAAGAATTTTGATATTTACTAAAAAAAAATTACAATATAATACACTTGATTAATATTAAAATAATAAAATAAAATTACAAGTAAAAATACAAAAAATTAATTTTTAACAAAAAATAATATTAATAAATAATATTTTTATTAAAAAAAAAAAAAAAAAAGAACAATTAAATAAAACTGAGCAATTAAAAAAATATTTTACATTAAAAATTTTCAAGGGTAAAAAGAATATCGAATTAATTAAAAAAAAAAATTATTGAGATGGAATGGATTTGAACTTGTAATTAAAATAAAAAAAAAATCAACATTAAAAAAAATTATTGTTTATTATTGTTAACTAAATTCTTTGATTAAACTCCTTGATTATAGGAATAAATTCTTTAGCCTTTTCAATTTCTGATTGACTAAAGCCAATAAATTTTTGATTAAATCTAATCCATTCCTCCGGTAAATAATATAATTTTTTTAAATTTATCAACAATTCTTCTCCCCCTTTCTTTTCCCTCAGCTCCTTCTGCCCTTTAATAAAATCTTTAATTTCAATTAATACTTCATCCTTGATCATGATATTTCTACATAAAATTATTTTCCGTAAATTTGATAAATTTGATAAATTCGATAAAAATAATTTCACGTATTTTGTATCCATCCAAAAATTTATTCCCAACGTTTCAACATTTTCAGGTATAGATCTAGCCAACTCGACAATAAATTTTTCATTATTATTCAATGATTCAATATATGATAAATCAAAATGTGTGTCACCTAAAAATAATTCTTTCAATGTTTTTGATGTTGACGTTAATATTTTTTTCAATGTTACATTATTTAAATCAATCAATTTCAGGTGTAATGTCACTAATTCGGTGTTATGTTCCGAGATCACATCTAATATTTCTTGTGTTATGCCACTTAAATAAAGATGTTTTAATTTTTTATTAACACATTTTAATAACCTTGATAAAATATATGTTCTAGTTGAACTGAATGGATTTTGACTTGAAATATCCGACATGAAAATTAATTTTTCGAAATTAAATTGATAGTT